GTTCAATTTCTTTTTAAAAAGAAAAAAAATCATGATTTCTTAAAATCTATTTTTAAATCCATATTTTTGATTGAAAATCTTATTTTATCTCTACACCACAAAGACATAGTTTCACCAAAATTCTTAAACTCAAAAAAGGTTTATGTTATGTAAGCGCGTTTGAGAGTATATATATATATGACTGCACAGTTGTCCCCTTCTAACTAGCATTACCGCGAATATCGCTGGTCAGGGACCTTATACGTACACGGTGTCTAAACACGCGCCTCTCGGGTTGGTTAAGTCGGCGTGTGGCGGGCTGGGGAAGTTCCTGGATAAGAGTAAACGGAGGTGCACCGTACGCGTGGCTACGGGTCTTAATAAATTTGACGAGGTAACCGCCACGGGGTTTTAGCGTCGTTAAGCCCCTACACGGCCATGTGAAGAAATTAACAAACTCTGGGTCAAATAAAATGGTATTAATGAATAGTAGTACCATGTTAAAGTTATTGTATTCCATATTAATCAGTCTTCGGTTTTTTATTATTATGTAATCTTGATGGTGCATGTGAATTAATTTACAAACACATCTCGTGTTCACACTGAGCACTGTGTTTCGAAATACGAATAAATAACTACTTGATCTAATCGGTAATACCCCAAAACTTAATATCGTCTATATCGTTTAATGGCAAGAACATGGACCGTTGACACATTTAATTAATTAGGTTACTTTTAATATATATTGTGTAAATTCTAATATTTAATCACTCCAACAAGTGTGTGTGTGTGTATATATATGTACTCACTACTCAGCCTCGACTTAATTGTTATCTCATTGTATCTTCTTTGAAATCCATCAACAATGGCTGGAGTGAGGTAATAGCTCCAAAGCATTAATATATATGTCTTTTACTAATTTTTTACATTAAAGTTTTACGTATGTAATGTACAGAAAATTGGATGGCAAGATCGTAATTATAACAGGCGGAGCCAGTGGTATTGGAGCCGAAGCAGTTAGGTTGTTCACGGACCACGGAGCTAAGGTTGTCATCGTTGACTTACAAGAAGAGCTTGGTCAAAACGTCGCCGTTTCGGTCGGACAAGACAAAGCTACTTTTTACCGTTGCGATATCACAAACGAGACGGAAGTGGAGAACGCCGTTAAGTTCACCGTCGAAAAGTATGGGAAGCTTGACGTTATGTTTAGTAACGCCGGTGTCATGGAGATGTTGGGAAGTTTCCTCGACTTGGATCTCGAATCTTTTGACCGAACCATGGCGGTCAACGTTCGCGGCGCAGCTGCGTGTATCAAACACGCAGCGCATGCCATGGTGGAGAAAGGAACGCGCGGGTCAATCGTGTGTACAACGAGCGTTGCCTCGGAGATCGGCGGTTCGGGACCTCACGCGTACACGGCGTCGAAACACGCGCTTCTCGGGTTGGTTAAGTCGGCTTGTGGCGGGCTTGGGAAGTACGGGATAAGAGTTAACGGGGTTGCACCGTACGGGTTGGCAACAAGGATGACTAGCCACGACGAGGAAACGGCGAAGTTTGTGGAGGGATATTGCGCCACCACGGCTATTCTCAAGGATATTGTGCTTAAGACTCGCCACGTGGCGGAGGCGGCTTTGTTTCTAGCTTCGGATGATTCGGCTTACGTTAGCGGCCAGAATCTAGCCGTTGACGGTGGTTTTAGCGTCGTTAAACCAATGGCCATGTGAAGATTATTGATTAGTCTTCGTTTTATTATAGATGTCTTAAAACTACTGATTTGCGTTAAAACTTTCTTAAAGAAACAAAGATATTATTGAACGATACATCAATTTGTGATATTACATTTATTGAAGATCCATAGAAATGATCTACAACTTTGAAGAAGGTTTCTTGGATCCACGTCCAGCTATGAACTCTTGCATCTTCTTAAACTGTTCCTTTGTCATTCCACTGTAATACGCGTGAGCTCGTTCCTATAATTTCACATTCTCTTCAATCAAAAATCAATCATATAAACTCGCATAAAGATTGTTAAAACAATGTTCCAAAAAAGATTTCACCTTTTCGAGTTTAAGAGCATGACCAAGATCAAGCTTTAATCCATCATTGATAACAGATTTAATCCTCAAAACCATTCCTTGTTCATTTTTTATTATAGCTTCTGCGATTCCTCTAGCTTTCTTCATAGCTTCTCCTTCATCTTCAACAACATGGTTCACAAACCCTAACTTCTCAGCTACGTTAGCTGTTAATGGCGTCGAGGTTAAAGAAACCTCACGAGCTTTGTTTGCTCCAATGATCCTTGACAACTTCTGAGACAAACCCCATGAAGGAAATATCCCAAACCTTCAAATACAAAACACAGAGGAATTTCACATTGATTTGACCTAAATTTCCAGATTCAGTTCTCAAAATGAATCACAGTGCTCATGAAACGACGTCGTATTTGAGAAGAAAGAAGCAAAAACCTGGCGTGTGTATCAATGAACTTAGCTCTTTTGGAAGCGACGAGTACATCGCAGGCTAAGGCGAGTTCGAATCCGGCGGTGATGGCGAAACCGTTGATTACTCCGATGATCGGTTTTCTTAACCGTTCCATTTGGATTACAGGATCGGTTTCTGGATCCTTAACGTCTCCTTTGAAAACAGATTCCGCAGCAGTTAAATCAACGCCGGAGCAGAAAGATCTACCGGATCCGGTGAATATCACGACCTGGATTGATTCGTCGGAGTCCATATCTTTGAACGCCGCCGCGAGATCTACCATCATCGCTCTCGTGAGAGAATTGAGAGATTTCGGACGGTTGATTGTGATGATGGCGATTCCTCCTGATTCTTTCTTCACCTGGATGAGGTTTTCGGGTCCTGATTGATCCATTTTCGAAGATTCCGATCAGTAGCAAGAAAAATTCCGATCAGTGAGAATTGAGAAATAGTCAATCAGGGAAGAAGCAGATGAGGAAGAGAACCTGGGTTTGTGTGCCATTTGTTTTGTCGTTAGTAAACTGCGTGCCGTTTTTGGTACGGTTTAGACGCTGCGTATTTGTTATCTGGAACATGAAAACGGCAAGTGGTAGAGATTCGAGTCACAACTTTAACATATAAAAACAAAAGTCAACAAGCGGAAACACAACCACGAACCATCTGTCAAACCGGTCTAAATTATTTTCATCGGGATGTGTGATGTTTAAAGTCAACCAAATGCATAAACAAATAAACTAATTCCTCGAAAACCAAGAAACAAACCATTAACTCATTTGAAAATAAGTTGTGTTTTTATAAGTTTTTAATTTAAAACAATTCGTAATGAGTGAATTGATCTTATATCATATACTATATTCATACTATTTCAATTCATTTGTGGAAGCAGAGTATTGTCTATGGCATTAACCACATGTGAACTCAAATAATTTAAAGCCCTCT